ATATTAAACTATATTTTTTATATAATAATTATATTATTAATATTAATATTTTATTTTTTATTAAAAAATTAATACTTATTTTTTATGTTCGCAGGCAAATTTTCCTGCGTTATAGATGAAGAAATATTATAAATAAATGCTTAAATAGAAAATAATGTAAATAAAACAAATAAACAAAAAAAAATACTTAACATTTAAGTACATGTGATCACATTCTATAGTTACATATTAATTAAGGTAAGCATAAAATAACAAATTATACTTTTTTTATTAATAATTAAATAACTAACTCTATTTAATCTTATTGCAGATTCTTCAAATATTTACTATTTAAATTGAAACTATTACTAACTATTAGAATAAAAAGTATGCTAAATATTTTATTGTGCTGTAAATATTAAATGATAAATATTAATTAAAACAAATACAAGAATAAGTGATTACATAGTAACATTATAGTTTCTTGCAATTTTTTATAAATAATCTTGAATTATATTAATTAAATATAATTTACCTATTCTTACAATTTCTATTATAATAAAATTAAGTGATTCAATGCAATCAGGATTTATAATTAAAGTAATATAATGAGATTCAATTTGCTTAAATATTATTATTTGATTTTATTTAATATTTAATTATTTATAATATAATTGCCATTATCATAATCTACTTTATATATATTGTAGCTTATTAAATGTATCTATAAGATCAAAATCAGAATAATGCTATCTAATATTATCTATCCAATCAAAATTTTAGTTAATATTATAAGAATCTAATCTGAATAATTACATCTAATCTCATCTCTAATAATATCATTTAACTAGATTATATCTCTCCTTCATGATCTTTCTATTATTTTTATTTATTATTTTCATTTTCTTCATATTCATTTTCTAAATTATTTATAAAAAGATCAAGTAAATCAATATGCTTTTTTTAATTTTTTGCAATATTTATCAAAATGTTTTGACTATAATATGTTATCATTTTCAGTTAATTGACTAAGATCACAATAGTAAAAATAAAGACAAATCTTTATCTGATAATATTTTTCTTATTATAAACTATTACAGTAAGATGAACATAACTATTTATATATAATAATTTAATATTTATATTTTTTCTAAGCAAAAAAATAAAAAATCTATATAAAAAAATAATATAATAAAAATATAATATATTTTTTTTTTAAAATTCCTTAAAGTTATCCATAAAATATAATGATAAATAAAATAATAAAATAGAAAAATCAATTCTAGAATTATCTAAAATATACAAAAATAATAATAAAATAATAAAATAATAAAAAAATTAATTCTTTTTATCTTAAATCACTTAAAATTCCTATTTTTTCATTATAAAAAAAAAAAATAAAAAATTAGTTTATTATTGAAAAGTTAATATAAAACTGCTTTTTATATAATAGATTAATAAAATTTAATTTATTTTTAGTTTTTTTTTATCAGTTAATTTTTTCTGTTAAAAATATTTTTTAGTATTTTTGTAGTTAAAATACTATTATAAAAAATAAAAATCAGTTTATTATTTAAAAAATTGACTGGTTAACTAATAAAATTTAATTTACATTTTGACTTTTCTTTGACTAATTTTGATATTTAAGAGTATTTCTATTAATATATTTTAATATAAAAAATTTAATAAATTTTATTTTATCTTTTTATAATTATTAGATATTATAATTTTATAATTTTTTTATTTTAATATGTAGTAGCTTTACACAATCTTTATTAATAGTAAAGTAAAATTTATAAAATTACAAATTACTGAGAAAAGAGTACAAAAATTTCTATTTAATTAAGAAAACAAAATTAAATCAAAATTAATTTTATATCATTTTAGACTAATCTATCCTAAACTAATTTAGAATAAGTTCAACCATTTGGTGATTGCTATTAATCTAAAATATTAAATCAGTTTATATTATATCTAAAAGAAGAAAAAAAAAATAAAAGAAATTATAAAAAATAAGGGTTAAATGTGAAAATTTTGATGTTGATGAAATGTATTTTTTAATCAGCTAAAGAAATATTGTTAAGGAATTCAAAATATTTGATGATAATATAATAGTTTATCTAAAAAATTTTAATTTGAAGAAAAGCATGATGATAAGTAGAGGAAAGAAAGTTAAATATTAAAATCTTGTTATTGATAAAATAATGCATTTTATCAAATAAGAAAGCAAAAACAGTTCCTTTAATAAAGTTGATGAAATTAATGGTATTATATTATAAATTTAATGTTTAAATATTTAAAGAAAGGAGTTTTAAAAGGTTATGAGTATTAGAAATCAATTTAGTTAAATGTTAAGAAAAGTAAAATTTTATAAAGAATTAAAATTTTTATAATTTTTTATAATATTTTACTGTATAAATAATATTATATTTATTATTTAAGAAAAATTATTTTTTTTTAAATAATATATTTTTAAAATAAACTTTAATTAAGTTTAATAAACAAGTCAAATTATTACTTATAATTCATAAAAAATATAAAATTATATAAACTAATAATTAATATTAATTTAATATATTTAATGTTTATTCTTTATAATTTTATATAAAATAGATAAATCTAGAAAGTTTAACAAATTATCTATTTTTGTATTTACTTTTATTTTATTTAATTTATAATAAAATCTTATATTATATTTTTTTTAAAAATAAAAATCATATATTTGATTTATATATATTTATTTAACTGAAAAAATCTTTAATTTAATTTTATATTCTATTAAATATATTTTAATCTATTAATTTTTGCTAAATAAATATTAGATATAATTAATAAATAAATAATTTTATAATCTAATATCAATATCTATATTAAAAAATAACTATTTATGAATATATAATAGTATTTTATAATGAATTATAATTTATGCTGTTCTTCTTTTTCAAGTTTTTTTCTAATCTTCGCAGCTATTTTGGCAGTATTAGGTTCCTAAAATATCAATAATATTAAGGAATAGATAAATAATATAAAGGAGAAATGATATTAGAATGCTAATATTAATTATAATATTAAATTAAATAATGTAATAGAGTTAATTTCCAAGGAAATATTATAAATTATTTACCTCTGGAAGTGCGAAAGACCAAACAAAAGCAATGATAAGTAAAACACTGCACAATAAACATCGTGTGGAAATTGTTAAATCAGTAACCTATAAAAAAATCAAGTTAATATTGGAAAATTATTTATAAAAGTTGTATTGCAATAATAATTATTGAAACTTGCCAAAAGTGATACAACGCACATATTCAATGGTACTCTGAATAAATTGCTAATAGTAGCTCTCAAATTTTCAGGTACAACTTTAGCTCTAAGTGTTCCAATAGTAGGGAAATAAAGTCCACATGTCATCTCAAATAAAGTAAAAAAGCAAAACAATGTGGTCTCATTCTATAAAAGCAATTAGAAGTAAATATCGAAAAAAAAATAAAGAGAAAAAATAGTACTATTTCAAAAGAGCCTTACTGGATATAGTAATGGTATTAATAATGAAACTCCTGCTACTAAAAATGTTATTTGTGCAATATCAGATAAAGGTACGTTACGAGGACCACTCAAGTTTCTATAAATTAATGATCCAATCATAATGGCAACCATAAAACTGGTGATAATAATAAAATAATAAATATAATAGTATCAAACAAAAAGTTTTTAAATAAGTTAATTACATAATTATAGTACCTAGCGAAAATCATACCAAAAGGCAATCCCTCTTCTGATTTATGATGAATTTCTAAGAATGGTCCCCAGAAGAATACAAATGTATACATGGAGGCCTCAAATAATGATTGGACAGCTCCAACTGCAAGAACACGAGAATCTAATAATTTAAAAATATTATTTAAATGGTTTTATAAGGCGTATAAATATCAAACAATGAAAATTACCGTTGCTTATAACTTTCAAAGCTCGAGACAAAGATGAAGCTTCTGTCGCATCATCCTAAAATAAATAAAAGGTTCATCTTTAGTATATATTTAGATATTTTGAAAGTATGAATTGTCAAAAGAATCTAAGAATTCGTTACCTTATCGGATTTACCTCCATAATTTTCTTTCCAAGTAAAAGTAATTATCAATGATGCTAATGCAAAGAAACCAATCGCCGCTAAAAAAGGTGTCGTGACCCCAAATTGCTTGACTAACCAATTTGCTAATAGTCCACTAAAGATAGCAACAAGCCCATTTCCATAAATTGCCTGCGAAAAAGTTTCAGATAACAGTGAAGGAGGAAATCCTACAAAAATAGATCGGAATGTTAAAAAAATTTAGCATTTGAATGCATTGGATAAATGGTATCTACCTCTAGAAAAATGCTCGCTAACCATCCAACTTTCAAAGACCGAAAACAAGAGAGATGTACTTATACCGGACAAAATCCTAAATAGAAAGTAAAACGTAATTCAAATAGGTAATTTATATATATATATATTTATTTATTTAACAATTGAAGGTATCAACTAACCTTCCCATTAATAATATATAAAAATCTTTTGACAATACAATAAAACAAGACGCAGAATAAAGTAATGCAAAAAGCAAACAAAATTTTTTTCTTCCACTAAGAAACATTTAAAAGATTTTTAGTCATCAATAATAACATAATTAAAAGTTAAGATATGAAACTTACTATTTATCCGCAGCAGATCCAACAATAGTTCCAAAAATACCACTTGATAGGAATCCAGTAACGAACAAAATTGCCTGCTGATTCAAATCAAATCCATGACTTTTATATATCGCATAAACGTATGGCCCTTGAAGCCAATCACCGACTTGATAAATAAAAAAATTTTTTTAGTAACTGATCTGACTAAAAATTGTATAAATTATAATTCTTAAAATCATCTCCGTGTGCGATAAAATAATTACATACTCATTACTAATAAGTAAACAATTAAATAATTTAAGCGAAATTGTTTATAATCTTTTATTTGTCCGTGGTCAGATGAGACATTGCTAGATTTTTTTTCTCGAAGCAAAAGTGTCAATAAGGCACATAAACTAGACAGAATATAAAAAGTCTGAGTATAATAAAACATTTTTATAATTCGGAAGAAGTTCAAAATTTATGAAATTCGAAATTTTTTAAAATTTTATATAATTGTGAATTGTGTCACCTGAAGATCAATAACCCAATAAGAATAACAGAATCTGGAACTGTGGAACTGAATTGCAGTTCCGTCAGACGGGCGTACAACCATGTATAAATAAATATTAGGATAAAGGGCCCTAGGTTAAGGATGCCCATCAGACAAATTTGGGGAATGCGTTGATCACGTGATTAATGTAAATTATTTGTCATCTGTTCCACTTTTAGTTTTTATTAAGTATATTCCGAGATGATTTGATATCAGTATACTCTGTTTCTGTGATAAAAAAACGATGTATCCTATAATTTAATCAAATATCTGAATTATATAGAAAGCAAAAAAATGCACATTTCTTTATTCAGATCAATATAATCATATTCGTAAAACAATTATAACATTATACTATACAATTTACTAAAATTTGTATTACATGTATACGCAATAGAGATATAATATATTAAACGTCATCTTTTGATCAATTTACTTGATTAAGCTATTTCTAATAGTAACATTTGATATTCTAGAAATATCGATCCTATTTAAAAGACAGTATATCAATTTTAGGTATTCATAAATCTTGTGAAATAATCATTTAACAACTTAAATTTTGTATATATGTAGCAAAAATTGAATTATCATATTAAAATCTTCTTCCAGAAGGTTTGGGTTATCTTCATTGGTTATTTGATCATCATTATTTCTAACAAAAATATCTAAATCTGAGATCTTTTCAATTTCTGAAATATTTGCCTTAAGTAAATAAGTTTTTTTGCAATAAAAAAAAAATATCAATATGTAACATTTAACATTGATGATTCAATATATTTAATCAAAATAAATACAAATTCATTTATATTTTATAAATTATATTCTAAAGATATAATTTTGAAATCTTCATTAAAAATCAAACTTTGATCTAAGAGAAAAACTGAAACTTGACTTATAAGACATTTAGAAGAAGAGCAATCAAGTTAACAGATATAACCAGATATAGCTTGATATATTGAATTCTAGAAAAAAATGAGTATTATATGAATAAAAATAAAAATCATGAATATTTTAAAATTACTTTCGTAGTATTAGTATTATTAATACTTTTTTGATTGAAAAAATATTAAATTTATAGAGGGTAAACAAAAGTATTCGCATATCCTCTATAATGTGAATTAATGCTAATAAAGTCATATAACTGCAATAACAAATTGTGTTTACATGATACTTAAATGTTTATTTATATTATAAAAATAAAAAGAATAACAATTTATTTTTTTTTTAATAAATTTTTCTTTTCTGAAAATCTAAAAAAAATGGTAAAAACTAAAGAATTAACTCAATGATTTTTCAAGCAAAAAACAATCTTCATACATTATCTTAGCCAGCTCAAAGTCCCGATCTTAATCCAATTGAGAATCTTTGGGCTGAAGT